GAATTGCATTGGTAATGGGACGCCTGGGTGGCTCAGTCGGTTGGGCGTCCGACTACAGCTCAGGTCATGATCTCGCGGTTTGGGAGTTCGAGTCCCGTGTCGGGCTCTGTGCTGGCAGCTCGGAGCCTGGAGCCTGCTTCGAATTCTGCCTTTCCCTCTCTCTTTGCTCCTCCCATGCTCATGCTCTGTCTCTCTCTCTGTCTCTCAATAATAAATAAATGTTAAAATAAAAGAGTTTTTAGACTTTCATTGGTAGTAGGAAAGGACATGCAGAAGGTGAGAAATTTAAGGCAGAAAGGGGAATAATGGATGGAACAGTGTCCTGGATCATGGACCATAAGTTTGAGCCCCACATTAGGTGTAGAGATTACTTTTAAAAAGTAAATAAAATCTTTAAAAAAGGAGAAGGACTTATTGCAATAGAGCAAGTGACAAATTATGATGGTTTTCACAAGGGTGGTGCAGTGGAGATGGGAGAGTAGAAGAAATCTGGGATATTTGGGAGGTAAAGCTGACAATACTTGCCATTGTATGAAATGTGGAAGGCGTGAGAAGGAGAGAGATCCTGAATAGCCCCTAGCAACTTGGCTTTTGCAATAGGGCGAATGGTGATCATGTTTACTAAGATGGAGAAGACTAAGGAAGGAAAACATTTGGAGATTTGGAAGAGGAATCAGTACTCCTATCTTGGCTACGCTTAGCTCAAGTTGCCTTTTAGCCACTCAGGTAGAGAGATGAGACAGGCAATGGATTCATGACTTTGGAAATCAAGAGGCAAGTCAGTAATGAGAAACTTACTGCCTTACAGTTACAAAGCAGCTCATTATATTTTCAATATCTCTAATTACTAGAAAGTTCTTTCTATGATATTTGTAATATAAATGCGATGCCTACTTCTCTCGGGATACTGAAAAGTACATATTTGGGGAAGCACACCAAATATTTGGAGAAGACGTTCATGTTCTACCCATCGTCTTCGTCTCTAAGCTAAATAACCCTAGTTCCCTCAGCTTCTCTTCATTACCTTGTTTCCAAATACTTCATCATCCTGGTCACACCTTTTGTGAAGTAGGACGCCAAGGACTTAAAGTGACCTGGATAACATATCCCAAACATAGGACCAATAGCTTTCTGACTTGCTGTTCTTTCAAAACTACGTTTGGGGCCCCTGGCTAGCTCAGTTGGAAGGGCCCACAATTCTTGATCTAGGGGTTGTGAATTCAAGCCCCATGTTGGGTAGAGAGATTACTTAAAAGTAAAATCTTTTTTTTTTTAATTTTTAAAAAAATGTTTTTATTTATTTTTGAGACTGAGAGAGACAGAGCATGAGCAGGGGAGGGGCAGAGAGAGAGGGAGACACAGATTCCGAAGCAGGCTCCAGGCTCCGAGCTGCCAGCACAGAGCCCGACGGGAGGCTTGAACTCCCAAACCGCGAGATCATGACCTGAGCGGAAGTCGGACGCCCAACCGACAGAGCCACCCAGGCGCCCCCCAAATAAAATCTTTTTAAAAAATATGTTTATGGGGCACCTGGGCGGCTCCATTGGTTGAGCATCCAACTTCGGCTCAGGTTGTGATCTCACGGTTCGTGAGTTTGAGCCCCACACTAGGCTTGCCGCTGTTAACACAGAACCCACTTGGGTTCCTCTGTCCACCTCTCTCTCTGCCCCTCCCCCACTTACACTCTCAAAAAATAAACATTAAAAATTTTTTTTAAATATGTTTGTTCACTTTTTATAATTTGTCTCTTTTCTTGCTGTCATTAGCGTGTTAGGGTCCCCTCCTGTGGCATAAGACATCTCTTCTAATTTTCTTCTAATATGTTGCTGCTTTGGACATCTGGTAAAAAAAACTTATGCTCTGTATCAGATATTAACATTTTGCGTTGTACGTTTGCAATGTTTTCTAGTGATCTAAAAAGAGAGAGGGATGCCTGGGTGGCACAGGCTTAAGGTTAAGCATCCGACTTGAGCTTGGGTCATGATCTCATGGTTCGTGAGTCTGAGCCCCGCATTGGGCTCTGTGCTGACAGCTCAGAGCCTGGAGCCTGCTTCCGATTCTGTGCCTCCTTCTCTCTCTGCCTCACCCCTGCTTGTGCTCTCTCTCTCGAAAAAGAAACATTAAAAAGTAATAATAAAATAAAATAAGTTAGTATTCCAAATAATTGAGTTCCAGATAGGGAGGTCTTTCACCCAACGATCTCATTAGAGATTTTCCAAGGGAATGATGGTTCTCACTCATCAGCGACTTTGCTCCCCAGGGACATTGGGTATTTTCTGCAGACATATTTGGTTGCTGTTACTGCGGCAAAGAGAATGTTACCGGTATCTAGTGGTCAGAAACCAAGGATTCTAGTAAACATCATACAATGCACAGAACTGCCCCAAAGACAAAGCCCAGAATAGTACCTAGATTTAGAAACGCTGGTCTGTGGTATTTCTCTGATTTTTTTTAAATAACCTTATTGGAAAAAGGTTAGGAGAACCTTCGGTAAAAAAACTGACATGATGTACTTAAACTTAAATTAATTCTGCATCCAGTTAATTAGTACTCCTTCCTTTTGTTGCATGCCAACTATCTGTTAGTAATCTTTCTAGAATTGAAGGGGAAAATAATGAAGCCCCACCCTTTTTCACTGAAAAAAAATTCGTAACTCCAATTTCTTTTGTTTTTTAAGTTTACTTTTTAATTTTTTTTAGTAATCTCTACTCCCAACGTGGGGCTCGAACTCACGACCCCGAGATCAAGAGTCACGTGCTCTTCCCACCGTGCCAACCAGGCGCCCCTCCAATTTTTTTTGGCACCTCTCTCAGTCTCTGCAATTGTTAGAATATTAACAGGTGGTCAGTGGTCAAATCTGGGCATTTCTATGTGCATTTATTTAAGGCAAAATTACACTCTCACTTTTCTCCTTGCCCTTTCTGGCCTTTACTTTCTCTTGTCCATACTTTGTTCATTTTTTCCAGGAGAAAGGTCGTGTTTCTTGAGAAGAGGAATCACCCTGCTTTTCTTCTGTCATCTCTTAATATTAGATAAATACAATACAACTTGGACTAGAGGCTTTGTTCTCCTTATCTTTCGGGTGCCCCAGTGAGGCATGCAGCTATTTTGGGATGTGGCTTTACTACTTTACTACTCACTAGTTTGTTACCAGTGAGTCAGATGGCGGCAGAAGTCAGTGTCCTGTCACTGGTTGTACTTAGAGGTAGAGGTGTGGGAGACAGAAGAATGCAGTTGGGTGCACGTCCTCCGCCGTGGGAACATGCCAGTGTTCCTGGGGCTGTTTTGTTTCTTGGTATTGACTGCAGGTGTCAAGATCAAAGGGGAAATAATGAGACAAGGGTAAATTCTTCATTCTCTGAGTACCTGAAAGGAGCAGGGCTGAATCGAAACTAAAAAGTCAAAGGGAAGGGATGCCTGGGTGGCTCAGTCGATTAAGCGTCCGACTTCAGCTCAGGTTGTGATCTCACGATCTGTGAGTTCCAACTCTATGTCGGGCTCTGTGCTGACAGCTCGGAGGCTGGAGCCTGCCTCAGATTCTGTGTCTCTCTCTCTCTGCCCCTTCCCCGCTCACACTCTGTCTCTGTGTCTCTCTCTCTCTCAGAAATGAACATTAAAAAAAATTTTTTTTAAGTCAAAGGGAAGAAATAAATTCTTTCCTCAGCCATACCCTAAGGCAACAGCCAGGTAGTTCTTTTTGGATGCTTCTAAATTTTCAAATTACAACTGTGTTACCACTAAGAATCTAGTGGCAAAAGTCATCCTTCCCCAGTAGCTTTGTGTTTAGAGCTGGAAGTTCATTCATTCATTCATTCATTCATTCATTCATTCAGATATTTATTGAATGTGCCTATATGTACCAGGTACCTAAATGAACCAAGGAAGCTTCTAAAAATATGGAAATTTCAAGTGTATATTTGAAAGAGGAATGATAAGTGAATACCCCATTAATAGTCAAAATAGTCCTATAACTTATCACCTTTCTTCCATGGTAATAAGCCACTAAATATTTGTATAGGCTGTCTATTTGTGGAACTCTTGAGATTGCAGAGAATAAAACAGCTTGGACCATCTTTTAGAATGAGAGGCCCAAGACACAGGTTGAATGACTTAATTAATTCCTAGATGGTGGGACCACAGCAGGTCACTACCATAGACTGAACTACTACCTGGATTTTCTAATTTTCAACCTTGTCTTTGCTCTGAAAATAGCACTGAGAGAAGATTGTTTACAGAAAATGCAAAACCACCCTAGGTTGGTTTCTATCCAGAAAGCCTTCTGATTGCAACAATGGACAGGAAAGTGAAATGAAACAACGGAATTTGGAGTTCAGGGGTGGGGTTGAGAGAAGCAATGGAAAGAAGAGATTAGAAAAAGCAACAGAATGAGGAGACCATATTTTAGTTGGGACAAAGCATATAAGATAAAAGTGACAAGTGGGGCGCCTGGGTGGCTCAGTCGGTGAAGCGTCCGACTTCGGCTCAGGTCATGATCTCCCCGTCCGTCAGTTCATCCCGCTTCGGGCTTTGTGCTGACAGCTTGGACCCTGGAGCCTGCTTCGGATTCTGTGTCTCCCTTTCTCTAACCCTCCCCCGTTCATGCTCTGTCTCTCTCTGTCTCAAAAATAAACATTAAAAAAAAAATTTTTTTTAATAAATAAAAAAAAAAAGTGATAAGTCTGGTATCTCCGGAGTAGAGGTAGTATTGTAAAAAAAAAAAAAAAAAAAAGGAAAAAATGCAATAAGATTTTCCTTCATTCCACACCCAAGGGCTTACAGTCAAAATAGCATGTCTGGTATTCAAAGACTCCAGCAGCGTAGCCTGAACTTGCTTTTCCAGCATTCTCTCTCACTAGACTCCTACAGGCATCCTGCTCTTCAGCTCAACTGGTCGAAGCACTATTACCCAACCTTCCACACCAGCTTCCTACCACCATACCTCTGCCAAGGCCGTTCCATTTTCCCAAAACGCCCTTCTCTCATGTCTACCTGTCTCTTACCTTACTCGTCTTTCAAGATCTACTCCAAATTCTGACTCCATGAAGACTTTCTCGATTCTCCCCGCACAAACAGAATCCTTTGGCTTCCTTCAGAACTTTTTTTATCTTGTCCCCTCCGTGGCCAGATCGTAATCAACTTCTGGGGGGAGAGGGGGCACTTTGGGTCTTCTGCATTACTCAGCCGTGCATTTTGTAGGCTCTCTCAATGCATGTTTATGTGTATATCTTCACTTTTCTCAACATTGCATTTAAAAAAAAACTCATTAAAATTTGTCTGTATTTAGAAAACCATTGTTTCTTACTGTTTTTATTAGCTGTTGTCTTATCCAAAGATGGAGAGGTCCAAGTAAGAATGCAGCTAATGAGCGAAAAAGAAGAGTGAAATTGGAAGAGGCCAAGTTTCTGGCTAGGGTGTGGGGACAAGTCTGACTTTAGGTGAAGGGAGATATTGGAAAAGAGGGTGGGCTAGACACAAGGAGCATTAAGAAGATGGCTTATAACCTGGGATAAATGCAAAGAAAAGAAAAGAGAGCAAGAAAGAGAAGGAATTACAGAAAATTTGAGGTCCAAATATTGAAAAGATGGGAGGAGGAATAGTCAAGAGACTAAAAGGGTTATGTCTAGGAGAAAGAGCCCAGCCTTTGGTTGTCTTTGGGAGGTCCTTTCTGTGTGCAGGCAAGAAAAGGAAGTGAAAAACAACATTGGTCCCTTCCTTGGAAATAGGAATGACTCAAAGAGGTTTCATATAAGGATAAATAAACGTTTTCTTGGAATTGTTGCTATTCGCGGCAAAGTTCTGTGCGAAGCTGTTTTCACCAGAATCCTGTATGATCTGGTTCAACCCCTGACTGTGTGTCTCCTCCCCTCCTGTGTGTCTACGTATATTTCAGGTCCCTGGATTTGCTTATGTCTGTTGCCTTAGAACCTCCACTGTGTGCCTCTTACTGGGCAGTATGTCTCCACCCATTTCCATAAGTAAGTGGTTTATGGCATCTTATCACCTGTGCAGTTCCTCCTTGGACGGTATCAGGTCTTATCTGTGTCTATGTCTTTTCCTTTTGCCTTAATCTTTTATTTTTCTCTATGCACTCTCTCCCATTCCGCTTCTGTCACTGCCTTTCTTACCAACTGGCTTACTATGATTTCATCTCCATGGCAACCCCTCCCTGGGGAAGAATGAGGGGAAGGGAAGTAAGAGAGAGCCTAGAATAAATGGACAATGAGAAGCCGGATTGGAGTTGAGGGCAACCTTCTGTCCTGGAACAGAATAGAAACAAACCATGTAGATGGATTGCAGCCAAGTCACACAAAACCTTAAGGGAACACAAATTGGGGAGCCTGACCCCAGCCCCTGTTAGCATACTCATTCAGCAAATTCCTCCTATTTATGCCAAGCTGTCATCTGTTTTTCCTTCTCCTGTGATCCAGATGAACTATTCTTTCTTTCTCTGTTTCTAGGCTTCATAATTCTTATACAGTTATAGTGTCTGATACGTTATAACTTGACAAGTGATTTTCTTAAAGATTCACGAGTATTCACGTTGGAACTGCAAGGTGGTTCTTTTCAGGTCCTACAGCTTTTTTTTTTTTCTTTTTTTTTTTTTAATTTTTTTTTTAACGTTTATTTATTTTTGAGACAGAGAGAGACAGAGCATGAATGGGGGAGGGGCAGAGAAAGAGGGAGACACAGAACTGGAAGCAGGCTCCAGGCTCTGAGCCATCAGCCCAGAGCCCGACGCGGGGCTCGAACTCACGGTCTGTGAGATCGTGACCTGAGCTGAAGTCGGACGCTCAACCGACTGAGCCACCCAGGCGCCCCAAGTCCTACAGCTTTTGACAAGGATTCCTTCTGGACATTAAGTGATCGTTAAGTGATAATAAAGAACACTTGGAATGGCCTTAGAAAAGGACAGAAGAATATATTTAATGATACTGTGCACTCTCGTGTAGGACCAGAATGTTAGACAAGAGGTTTATTAAGTAACAAAGAAGGTTTCACAAACCACGGGATTTGTTTTGCATAAGGAAAGTGAAGTAATGGAGTCCTTCTTTCCAGTGATCTTTAAAACCGAGTAGTGGGGCGCCTGGGTGGCGCAGTCGGTTAAGCGTCCGACTTCAGCCAGGTCACGATCTCACCGTCCGTGAGTTCGAGCCCCGTGTCGGGCTCTGGGCTGATGGCTCAGAGCCTGGAGCCTGTTTCCAATTCTGTGTCTCCTTCTCTCTCTGCCCCTCCCCCGTTCATGCTTTGTCTCTCTCTGTCCCAAAAATAAATAAACGTTGAAAAATAAATAAATAAATAAATAAATAAATAAATAAATAAAACCGAGTAGTTATCTGTATATCTGTAAAGGAAATTGGCTAGATCGGTGTATCTCAAACTTTAAGCTCCTTTTTCCCACTAGCCTCCCTTGACCTTAACCTGGAGAGCTTGTTAAAAGATAAAAGTGACATGTGTGGTGACAAATTTTTGAGCCCCACCCTTAGAGATTGGGATGGTGTTGTCCTGGGGCTGGAGGGAGGGATGGTGGAAGGGGTATGAAGTTGTATTTCTAACAGGCTCCCTGGAGACGATGTAGCCGATCCCTTGATCACCTGTGAGTAGCACTGGTGTAGATGGATTCCAAAGTCAAAGAATGCAGTTGACATACAGAGTACATAAACGTGTGGATATCGCCTTACTCTTGGATTAAAAGTATCTTTTTCTTGGGGAATGGAAAAGCACCGATGAGCTAACTCAGGTTTTGTTTTTTCCTGCCCATTTATTTGCAAGCTGTGATATCCATTTGACAGCTTTCTTTGCTCTGTAGAGTGATGGACAATCCCCGTTTGCTCACGGCCTTTCAGTGCCAAAACTGGGACAGTCCAGGGCAGAGTGGACATTGGGGTGATCTCTCTGTTTACACGAGGCTAGTGAAATAAGAGGAATATAAAAAGAAAAATGAATTTGACTAAGAAAATGTGGTTTCTAGTCCTAATTTACAATGTATTAATTTTTATGACTTTAAATTGGATGTTTAAATTTTCCCTATTTCCGGGCGCCTGGGTGGCTCAGTTGGTTAAGTGTCTGACTTCAGCTCAGGTCATGATCTCACGGTTCGTGGGTTTGAGCCCTATGTTGGGCTCAGTGCTGACAGCTCAGAGCCTGGAGCCTGCTTTGCATTCTGTGTCTCCCTCTCTCTCTGCCCCTCCTCCACTCTCTCTCTCTCTTTCTCTTTCAAAAATAAACATTAAAAAAATTTTTTTTAATAAATTAAAAAAAGAACAACAAAATGAATTGATGATGATAGAAGTAAGTAAAGTGGTTACCTCTGGAAAGGGAGGCTATAGACTGGAAGAGACGCAAGGAAACCTGGGGAGCTAGAAGTGGTCTAGAATCTAGATCTCGATCTGGACAGTGGTTATACAGGTGAATATGGACGTAAATATTCACCCAGCTGTACTGGGTGTAATGTACTTAACATTAATGCATTTTTACCTGCTTTATTATATGTAAAAAAGAAAAAAAGAAGGCATAAAGAAAGAACTCACCCTCAGTTCTGACCCCACTAGAAAACACATTCTTGTTCTTGAAATTTTTCTAACAGCCCCAACACTATCAGGTTTGGCTTTGTGACTTGAACACCTAATATGTGGATTTAGAGGTCATCTCCTTGTTCAGATATCTTGCTTTCTAGACTTGAGTAATATATGACAGTAAAGGGAAGTGGAAACCCTTTGTCACTTGGTCAGGAAGAGGGCCAGGTTTACATCAACATTGCAACAAATCTTTGTTTTTATTGTTCCTTTTCTTATTTTTCATCTTGGTGCCGGTAGGCCTACTTTTCTTAGATTGGCTTTTCACCCCCCCCCCCCCCCCCCCCCCCCCAGCACACCCCTCATGTGTGCTGCAGGGGGAGGGGAGGAGTGGTCTTCACTTTTTCTTTGTGTCTGTCCCATCAGTAGCCTACTTTGACATCTTTTCTCATGTGTCTCATTAAACTGAATGGTCCATGCTGACGTTTCCTTTTAAGAGTCTATTCCAGGGACTCACATCCGGTTCCCCTTGCCAAGGAGACTTCCAGTAGCTTTTATAGCTGTATTCCCAGACTTGACTTGTTTTTGAAATGTGCCTGTGGCATTCCCACTTCTGGGGAAATCTCCCTAGCATAGTCCTCTCCCGCCCTGCTTTCCTCAGCAACGATTCTGCTGTGTTTCATTCACCCTCAGCCTAGCTTAGGTAAAAAGAAAACTTTCAAAAAAAAGAAATCATTTATTTCTCAGAGGATTAATCAGGTGACCAAGTTGTCTGCGGGTCTAAAAAGGAGAGATTATCAGAAATATATATGAGTGGAGAGATAACAGAAACCATGAGTTGTATGATATGTCCTTTCCCTTTTAAACTGTGTGGTTCTAGTTTCTTTCTTTTTTTTTTTCTGTAACATCAGTGTCTGTTTCATAGAAAGTCCTTAATAAACGTAATGCATGGGGAGAAATATAAGGTGCGTCTGAAAAATGACACAGTAACCACACCCAGAATCAGGATGCTAAGGGAACTTTCTGAGACACAAATCTGTGGATCAGTGTTTGCATGGGTGTGTATATCTGTCAGACGTCATGATCTGTGCACCTAAAGTGTATGAATTGTATATATTTTATACGTAAAACTGACTTTTAAACATAGAATCAAAATGCTGCAGGGGCATTAAGAAGAATCTGTAAAGATCCGAGATCAGGTGAAGTGTGAAATGTGGAACCTACATAGAGAAGAGGGGATCAGAGGTGAGAAAAGAGCAGAAAAAATGAAAAGACCAGACCAGACATGGGGCTAAACAGGCATGGTTGTCGGGGCAAAACGGAGGAATGGAGGCTTGCAGACTGACCCTGCTCAGTGATGCCGAAAGGGATGTTTGGGGATTAGTTGTGCAGACCAGAAACACCTGCCCTGGAGGCAGAACTCTTGTCTACTAGCCTTTTGCATCTCTCTAGAGATGCCTCGAGTTCCTGGAAATTGCAACTTTGGCCAGTGGGGTGGGGAGGCCTGCGTGCCCCCTCGGGGCTTCGCGCAGCTGTGCGGCGGAGCGGAAGGGCGGAGCGGAAGGGCGGGCGCGGCGGGTGGCGGGCTCGGAGCTCAGCGTCACCTTCTCGTCACTGCAGGGGACGTGCGGGGTGGCATGGCGCCCGCGGCGCGCGCTCATCCTGTCCCCGCCCAATACCTGGGAATCCCGGCGGAGGGGCCCGGCCCCAGAATCCCCCGTACACAGGGCTTTCCTCGGTGTCTGCTCTTGGGCCAGTTTTGGTCAAGGAGGGAATGCAATGAAAAGCATGAAAGTGGAAAGGGGCAGGGAGAGCTCAGGAGAAAAAAGACTGAGCAGAGTGCGAGGCTGGGGCAAGAGGCGACCTGGAAACCGGGCAGCCCAATGTGTGTGAGAAGGAGGGAGAAAGAGCAGTTAGGGGAGGAGGGGGACCGAGTTGCCATGAGAAGAGTCCGAGGAGAGCAATGATTTTGAACTGATCAAGATGCTGAGTCGTGGGGTCGCCTGGGTGGCTCAGTCGGTTAAGCGTCTGACTGGATCTTAGCTCAGGTCATGATCTCAGGGTTTGTGAGTTCGAGGGGGCAGCCAGCGTCTGGCTCAGGGCTGACAGTGCAGAGCCTGCTTGGGATTCTCTCTCTCTCTCTGCCTCTCCCCTGCTCATGCTGTCTCTCTCTCTCTCTCTCTCTCTCTCTCTTTGCAAATAAATAAACTTTAAAAAGGGCGGGGGGGGCGGGAGATGCTGGGAAGGTGTGGCAAGATTGGGAGTGGAGAGCATCAAAGAAGAGAATAAACTTTTATAAGGAAATGGAGGAAACGCAAGTTGCAGGTATAAGGGCCAAGGGCAGGTTGCCCCCAAACGTGTCACTTCAACATACTATTTTAAATAAAGGTGACTTAAGGGAAAAAAAACAAAACCTTACTTAAGAAATCCTATGCAAGAAGGACACTCAGACATTCCTCTGTCTCCCTGAAAGCAGAAAATAAATCTCCCATGTGAAAGGTAGCTTCCCTGTACCAGGAGGTAAGGAGACATCCTTATCGCCAGAGGTAGGAAATTTAGAGCCCAGAAGACTGTATAAACAACCTTTGTTACTTTGTACTAATTTACTACCCCGCTCCCCCCCACCCCAATTCTGTTTAAAATTCCTTACTAATTGAAGCTCCCAGTTTGCCCTGTCAATTCCTCAGATTTTTTGTCTCTTTGTCTAAACAGTGTAAAAACTGCCTACCTTTGTTATTGCTTGAGGTCTCAATTTCATCATGGGGCCTCTGTGTGCACCTAAGAAAACTTTGGAGTTTTTTTTTCCCTCTGGTTAATCCGTCTCTTGTAAATTTAACTCTTAGTCCAGCTGGAAGACCTTGAAGGGTAAAGGAAGAATTTCCTTCCCTTCACAGGCAAATAGGAGTTGTTTTGCATGCTGCTTGCTCTGGACCTAGAAGTTGCCTGAGAGGAGAGCAAGTAGAAACCAGGAAAAGGAAAGAAATCAAAATCAAGGACTCCCCTTTTCCTGCCTCAGTTGCCTTACTCTTGAGGTGTAAGTTCCTCTGTTTGTGTTTATCTTTCTTTCCCTTCGTGTACTATGGAGAAAAACAAGCACCATGTTTTCAAGACGAGATGATTGGCTCAGCTGGTTAAGTGTCAGACGCTTGATTTCGGGTCAGGTCATGATCGCATGGTCGTGGGACTGAGCCCCATGTTGGGCCCTGAAAAAAACCTAAAAATTAGAATAAATAAATAAAAACGAAGTGATTTATGTATCATGGCATTCTATTTGTGAACTATATTTTAGTTATGCACTTGGTAGTATCCTTTCATGCCACTTGATGTAAACGTTTTATGACTATGGGTGGACACGTACAGCCTCTATGTGTCTTCAAAACAGTATCTATCGGGGGCGCCTGGGTGACTCAGTCAGCTGGGCGTCCGACTTCGGCTCGGGTCATGATCTCGCGGTCCATGAGTTCGAGCCCCGCGTCGGGCTTTGTGCTGACAGCTCAGAGCCTGGAGCCTGTTTCAGATTTTGTGTCTCCCTCTCTCTCTGACCTTCCCCCACTCATGCTCTGTCTCTGTCTCAAAAATGAATAAACGTTAAAAAAAATTAAAAAAAAAAAGAAAAAACAAAACAGTATCTATCGTATCGCAGAAATTCAGTCATTAGCAAATTCAGTTCCGGGGGTGCCCGGGTGCCTCAGTCGGTTAAACATCGGACTCTTGATCTTGGCTCAGGTCATGATCTTGGAGTATGTGAGTTCAAGTCCCACATCGGGCACAGATGGCCCTGATGGCACAGAGCCTGCTTGGCATTCTGTCTCCTCCTCTCCCCCCCCCCCCCCACCTGCGTGTGTTCTCTCTGTCTCTCAAAATAAATAAACTTGAAAAGAAAAAAGAAAATCCAATTCCGTTCCACCTGAGACACATCAATTGTGCCACATTAAAATCTGAATTTGCAAAGAAATGAATTAGAATGTCATTTGTATTACAGAATTATGCAGGGCTTCAAAAAATTATTAGAGTTTTACTTTTTCTTTATAACAAGCTCCCATAGTATATTTAAAAATATGACTCAGGGGGCTCCTGGGCGGCTCAGTCGGTTGGGCGGCTGACTTCGGCTCAGGTCATGATCTCGCAGCCTTGAGTTCAAGCTCCGTGTCGGGCTCTGTTGTGACAGCTCGGAGCCTGGAGCCTGCTTCAGATTCTGTGTCTCCCTCTCTCTGCCCCTCTCCTGCTCGCGCTCTGTCTCTCTCTCAAAAATAAACATTAAAAAAAATTTTTTTAACTGCTTAAAAAAATATGACTCAGCATCTAGCAGTGACAGAAAACCAGTAAGTATAGGATCGACAGATTAATGATCTGTATTTAATAACGTGTTCTTTTTATAATGATTTACTCAGAGACCTAATTCCCCTAAGGTCCTTATTCCTCTGCTATTCACATCCCATTTCTCACCCATCACTTCATTGAATAAACGGGCAACGGCGGTGGTAACATTTTGGCTCTGGTTTCCATCCCCAACTTTTGCAACTTGCACTTCACTGGAATAAGGAGTATTAGAAGCTGGGGAAACCTCTGGCAACAGTCTAGCGCTCAGTACATTACTGTACACTCCAGCCATCCTTCCGTCCTTCTCGCCTGCCCCATCTTCAGTGGTTGTATAACACTCAATGTGTCTGCTCCCCTTTTTGGGTCGTGTGAAGTGACCATGCAGCTAAGAAGGACAGGGAGACAAGACTTGAAGATTAGCCACCAACCCATCTTTCATTAGCTGCTTTCTCTAATCCAGATCTTAGTTTTCCTCTCCCTAATAATTTGGAGGTCGCTATGTTCAAAATGGCCACTAGGCTCTGGAAAACAGTGTGGAGGTTCCTCAAAAAATTAAAACTAGACCTACCCTATGACCCAGCAGTAGCACTGCTAGGATTTACCCAAGGGATACAGGAGTACTGATGCATAGGGGCACTTGTACCCCAGTGTTTATAGCAGCACTCTCAACAATAGCCAAATTATGGAAAGAGCCTAAATGTCCATCCACTGATGAATGGATAAAGAAATTGTGGTTTATATACACAATGGAGTACTACGTGGCAATGAGAAAGAATGAAATATGGCCCTTTGTAGCAACGTGGATGGAACTGGAGAGTGTGATGCTAAGTGAAATAAGCCATACAGAGAAAGACAGATACCATATGTTTTCACTCTTAGGTGGATCCTGAGAAACTTAAGAGAAACCCATGGGGGAGGGGAAGGAAAAAAAAAAGAGGTTAGAGTGGGAGAGAGCCAAAGCATAAAAGACTCTTAAAAACTGAGAACAAACTGAGGGTTGATGGGGGGTGGGAGGGAGGGGAGGGTGGGTGAGGGCACTGAAGATGGCATCTTTTGGGATGAGCACTGGGTGTTGTATGGAAACCAATTTGACAATAAATTTCATATATTAAAAAAAAGAAATATTAAATGTAAAAAAAAAAAAAAAGCAAAAAACAAAAAAACAAAATGGCCACTAGGGATTTAGGCATTATGGTATACACTGTGTTTCTAGATAAAGAAAAAGAACCAGGTGAACCTATCAGCCCCCCTGTGAAGCAAGGGAACCAGTTTGAGAAGGCACTTTCAACACTGGTAATGTTCCTCCCATGCCCTGTTAGAAAGCATGAGAGAAAGGTGGAGAATGAATCCCTATTTCCTTTTGCATCTCCATCTTGGTAGGCCCACTTTGTTTGCATTCCCTAACAAGAAATCCCCAGGGGGTTTTTGCTACTCAAGCTGTCTGTG